GTTTCTTCTGTATTTTCCACCCTTTGAGAGTAAATATTTTCCAAGTACGTACTAATGATCTTCTGAATTTCTGCAAGATCTCTAGTGATTTTAACATTTTCATTCCTTATTGTGTGGAATTGAAGGTTTTTGTTTCCTTTTTTGATAAGGTTGGCTAAGGATCTATCAATTTTATTTATTTCTCCAAAGAACCACTCTTTGATTCATTAACATAAATTGTATTATTTTCTTTATCTCAATTGCATTAATTTCTGGTCTGATCTTTCCAATTTCTTCCCATCTTTGGTGTTTGGGCTTGACTTGCTCTTCTTTTTGTAGAAGTTTTAAGTGCAGCATAAGGTTGTTTATTTGTGTTCATTCTGTTTTCCTAATGTGGGAATCCACTACAAAAAATTTCCCTCTCAAGTTGTAGTAATTTGCACCTGCATTTTTTTGATGGTAAATAATGTTTAATTTATTCTTTAATTTCTTCTGTGACCCATTGGTTGTTCAGGAAGATGTTATTTATTTCATTTTAATTTATTTATGTTAAAGAAAATAGTCCAAAAAAAGAACAATAGCAAAATACAAACAAAACAAAGCAAGGACATTAAAAATGATACAGGGTTTCAAACCAAATGATAGAGATTAATAGTGGTTGTTATATTGCATGTTGTTATCTTCAACGAAGTTGCTCAGATTACCAGATGAAAGAATAGAAGACTGATCAAGTCATTAAAGGGAATAAGAAAATAATAATTTAAAAGAACATTAAAGACAATACATACTGTCACTAGGCAGGATTTCAGGAATTCGCCAATGGATATTATACTGCAAATTATTGTCTTCACATAACTTGCTCAGATTACCAGATACAAACATGCAAAATTGGTCAAAATATTAAAAAAACTTTTAAACATTAATTGTTCCCCTCAACAAACCATCAGACACCAACAGTACAGTTATGCCACCAGTCTATAATATATAAAATGCCTTAGTACTTTCTTTTTCTTCTTTCCCTCATCCCAGTTGTTCCTTCCTTTGAGCAGTTTATTTCCCTTTCTTATTATCTATTGTATATTTTGGGTTTTATTTACTCTTTCATGTTCTTACACCAGGGAGACAATATGATGTTTACACATGCGGGCCCAATTTATTTCACTTACGAGTATGGTCTCCAGTTGCATCCATTTACCTATAAAAGCCTTGAGTTTATCTTTTTTTTTTATAGCTGAGTAATACTGCATTATAACTGGTGCTTTCCAGAACCCATGGTCCTTACCACAGTGGTGGCAGGGCAGAGCCCAGGGTTCTGGGGTTCTGGAAATCTCACCAAATCTTCTCAAGTCCAGGAGCCTTTCCTGTGATGGCTGTAACATGCAGAGCCAGGGGTCCCAGGCTCCCAGACAGCTCAGCAAGGCTTCCTGGGTCTGAGGCATCTTTCTGTGTTGATGGGGCAGGGTGGAGCCAAAGTCCTGGGGTTCTAGATAGTTCACTGAGGATTTCCAGGCTGAGGCACCTTCCTGCGGTGGTGGAGCAGGCCTGGTTGTAGATTTATTTTGATCATGGCTGTTTAGAGTTCTATATACCTGACTTAACTATGTTATATTCTGCTCCCATGTTTGGAAAATTTTCTGCTATTACTTCTGCACATAGTCTTTTATATGATTTATGTTGGCTCCTGCATTTTCATTGACATTTATCAATCCTTTATTGTTTTTCTTTGTATCATCTTGCAGCTGTTAAATTGTTATTTCCTTGTTCTTTGTTATTTTTAAGAGTTCTTTTCTTTCATGATCACTAGATGCAGTTCTGTATTCAAGGTCTGAAAATCCAGCTGCAGTTTCATTTCAAGCAGTTTTGCCAGCTTGGAATGGAATTTTTAATTTACTGTATATTTCTTTGAATCTGAAATTTTCCTCATTCTAATTCTTTACAATATTGCTCATTCAAGCTTTCCATCATTATGGTCCTCTATATTTTTAATTTTTTTTTTTTCCTGGTACTGGGAATCAAACTCATGACCTCGTGCTTGCCTGGCAGGCGTTGTGCCACTGAGCTAAATCTCCAGCCCCTTCAGCAAGTCTTTCATTATGGTTTTCATTTCTTTTCTATCTGAGAGATTATTTCTCTTCTGATTTCCTCCATACCCACATGATGTTGTTTCTTTATGTCAATTGCTATCATTTCAGATATTTCAGGTGTGTGTCTTCTAATTTCTTCTATGTCAATGTCTCCTGTACTTGTTTTGGGTGGGCTGGATGTCTCAGATTGAATTTCGCTTCTTCATCTTGTCATTTTCTATTTCAAAAAAACTTTTATTTTGTTTTCTGTGCTGGTGCTGTGAGTTTTTGTAGTAGGTAGTTATATCACTAATATAAAGGCCTCTCTAGGAAAAGACTGTTCTTCAAGGATGTCTTCTGTGTGTAGGAGATTCTTGGTTTGTGTCTGTCCTATGATCCTACCTTCCAAAATAATTTAAATTTGGGATGTTGGTATCTGTTCAATTTTGTCCACTGTCTTTTGGCATAGAGCTGTGGTGAGGTTATTACCCTAGAGCTTCCCAGTATTGTTACACAAGGGAGAACAACTGATTACAGCAGATATACCTTCCTAGCTAAAGTAGTACAGTTAGCAATAATGACATCATCAAGCACAATTTAGAAAATGACAAACTGTGATAACTATTGATTTTGTTCTTTAGACCAAAGGAGCACAGTCCATAGCTATACAACAGAACAGATCATAAATTAAGAGTCTGTATGCAAAGTGTTTCCCCTTGGTAGATTGTATTTACCCTGCGGTAGGAAAATTTAGGGAAGATGATGTACAAGGTAAAGATAACTGGAAAAGAAGTAGAAACAAGGCTGGAGGGCAAAGGATGGTCATGCAAGATTTGAGAAACTAGAGCACAGGGTGGAAAAGAAAGAGTGAAGTAGTATTAAGGGGTTATCTGAACTTGATTTCTGGGTTTGAGGGATGAGATTTAAATAAGAAAAAGAAATTTGAGAAAAAAGAAAAGAAAAAAGGAAAAGACAAACAAAGTAAGACAAAACAAAGATAAAATAAAATGAATTTATATTTTTAAAAAGAAAGTGGGATGATTCCACCCACCTACTTCTATTCTGGGTATTTTTGTCTCTAAACACAACTCTGGTTCACCTAACTTACCACCTATTGGTTTATATTTTGGACGTTTCTACCTCACCAGTCCCATCTGTCCATCGTATGTGTACTATTCTGTGTGTTACTGGGTGGCTGTTGTTCCCCAGGTAACCTTATCCCACAGTGCAGGGGGATGAGCCAGGCACCTGTGTTCCTCTGGCTAAGCTAATTGCTGAGTTGGGGTGCTTCCCATGCTGGCTAATGATCATGTGGTCTATTTATTTATTTTTTGAGACAAGGCCTTCCTTGTTCAGGCTGGTCTTGAACTATATAGCCCAGGTTGGCCTCAAACCCTTGGAGATCCTCCTGTCTCAGTCTCCTAAGTTCTGATTACAGGTGGGAACTATCTCACTTAGCAAAAATACAATATTAAAAAGTAGACATCCATAGTAATTTTTAAAAGTAACAATTTCAGCTCATCAGGTTATGAAACCAGTAAGAGTCAGATGCTTTCTTGTTTGGAGATATGGTATACCCTGCACTCCAATAATTTATGAGTGTGGGGCTATTTTGTTAATCTGCATAATAGAAAGTTTCCTTCAATATCCCTTTTAGACACTATGGATTTTCTAGCACAATGTGTACTTATCTGTAATGGCAAGATTTTGTTGCATCATCTGGCCATGTCATTAGAAAACGGCTGAAACCTACTTTTTAAATTTTTCTTCTTTTAGCAATATTCAACATCCTGGGCTGCACTAGGCACTATGGATAAGGCTGTTCTATAGAGTAATCCAAAATTGCATATTATCTGGGGCTTCTCTGTACCTCTTAAAGAAGGTCTAGGAAATCGTGGTTTATGCAGTCTTCATTTTAATAAAGAATAGTTAAAACTGTCAGAATAATTTACGTCATTCTAGCATCTAATCATCAGAGAAGAGAAGCAAATTCAATTGAGTTCAAGGCACAATGGTTGAATAGGGTGCAATATTTCCTATATACTTATAGTAAAAATGTATCTGTAGTTACCTGAGAATGAAATTTAACTTGCAGTGAAGGAGTATTTGAGGGATTATTTGTGTGTAGAATTAAATAAAGCACATGAATATTAAATAAAGAACATTGTACCATAGCAATATATGTGCACCCGTGTTTATAGCAGCAAAATTTGTAATAGCTAAATCTTAAAATCTACCCAAATAAAGCGGTGGATATAGTGTATCTGGTTCATTTTAAGCACTTAATAAATGTAAGCTGCTGCTGCAATATCAAAGACAGGTGGCAATAACTGAAGTAGAAGAGAATAAGGGTCTAGAAAATTTAGAAATTATTTAGAAAACTTTGGGGATCCACACTGAGGTTTTGGGGGAGGAAACAATTATTGTTTGTAATGTACTTTTGTGTTTTTTCTTTCAAGCCTTTATCCTACTTTACTGACATAATCTCCCCTCAAAAATGTTAGTTGTTCTCTCTGCCTCTCCCTGCATGACTGTCTGGCCAGGCGTGGAGAACTCTACACAGCATGCCCCTAGAGCTATGCTAACTGAATCTCCACTGATGTCTTGGCACAGCTCCCAGGCTCTCTCCACTCTTCTCTCATCCCCTTGCTGCCTTTCTTTCCCAACACAGAGACTTTTGTAATTCTTTACTTGAAATCATCTGCTTCTTTCCACTTACCATCTTTGACAAACAACTGATGGCATAAAATTTGGCAGTAAGTAAGCTATTAGTTGAATTTGAAGTTTAAACTTATCATGAGCTTCTTCTAAGAGATCTTGTGAAGAATTTGCAAGCCAAATCAAGTTCATTTCAAAACTAACTTTTCTCTGACTTAGTTACTTATTACACACATGCTGACTGTCCTTATTAAAAGTTACTGTTTAGCCTTGAACTTCTCCTTTATCTCTAGCTGTAAGTGGTGATTTACTACTTCCTACCACATCCAGAAGGCAGCCAAGCTTTGTGTAGTTGCCTGTTTTTGAGTACTGGAAGACCTTGGAGTCAATCAGGTTTGTGTTGGATGCCTTCTGTGTGCTTGTATCTGGAGGAGGAGATGAAGTGGCTGGTAGTGTTCTACCTGCACAAAGTGTCTTGGGAGCAGACTGGGAATTCACAAGATAAGAGCCTTGGCAAGGTAGATCACATGGAGACAGGTGGTAGGGGGAACTGGGAACACTGGCAGAGGAAGCTTTGATATCAAGGAGGCTACATTAGGTCTATCAAAGTTAAGTCTGAGAATCATATTGTGGAAAATGTATACATATCCTTAGGAAAAATAGGTGAAAATATATTCACCCAAAGGATTCTGCAAATCCAAAAGGTATAGCTTCTGTCTTTTGGGATACATTTATTACTTTGACCATAGCTTCCTGGTCACAACCAGAAGTAAAAAGCGATAGGGCTACTGCTTCTAAAAAGCAAAGAAGTTAGAATTTTTTAAACAGTTAGAGTAGTATATTTTCTTTGGGTCTTCACTTACTTGGAACTAAGTTACAAACTCCATGCAGTGGAAGAGACTCCTGGGATTGTGATTGGGTCAAGGATCAATTTGAGGAGAAATATACAAGCATAATAATCAAACAGAACAGTCTTGATTTAAAGACAGATGATAGTTGAATAAAACAGAATAAAGTCTGAAAATAGCATCAAAGGAAAAAGGTTTTCTCCGTTCGTTTACCTCTGAATAAGAGCAAAGGTTCAACACCTGTAATATGAACCATTATGATATTCAGCATTTTATAAAATACTTTCTTCTAATGAGATCTCTGAGATAGACAGCAATATCCTAATTTTGTATAGCGTAATTAGAGCTTTTACAGATGAAATTGAATATTATCTGTGGGGTAACATTTGAATGGCAATAGGAAAATTTCCTCAAGTTCCAAGGTAACTCTACCCAGGAAATCACTTCTGCTACTCTCTAAATCATAATAATGAATAGAGAATGAGCTACTGAAGTCTATCTGTCAGGCTTTGACTGTAAGATTCTTGAAAGCAGAGATGGACAAAAATAGGGTTCTTAAAAATCTATAGTGCTTTATACAATGCCTAGATATACTAGGCTAGGTTAGGCTGTGCTAAGGTAGAGAATAAATCCTAAAATCTTAGTGGGTTAACACACAAGTATTTTTTTCTTGCCTGTACAAGATGTCCAGGGATACTCCTTTCTGAATGGTGATTGAGACTCAGGCAACCTTTATCTTGCAGCAGCGCCCTCTGAAAGACATTTCCTCTGGTTTGCTATGGCAGAAGAAAAGAAGTAACACATGTCACTATCCAGCCAACCCACTGTCCAGTCCTGTAACCTTGTCTATCTTTAGGCAACAGGAAAACATTGGGTGCCCAGGAGAAGCAGTAAATCCTTCCGCCATCCTAGCTGAGAGTATGTTTTGATAGATCTTGTTGGATAAACTAATGTGAAAATTTGGCACAGAGTTTAAATTATTCAGATCTTGAGGCAGCTTCCAGAACTTCAGATGAAAAGGCATATATCAATAGGAGGAATGATTGAAACAGACCTACCATTTGACAATCTACTCGAAAAGAGGCATTGTTCTATGAACACTATGTGGCATTAAAGTTGAGCGCCTGTGAGAATTCTATAGGGTAGTTATTGATATTCTCCTTGCAGAAATCACTTTCTCAAAGCTGAGATTCAAGTCCAGGTTCACCAAGTCATAAAGTACATGACAGAGATTATCTATTTCACTTTACTCTTTCCTCAGCCTTCACTATTTTATGCAGTGGAAAGCAATGGTTTGAGAAATTCATCAAAGCAGTTATTTTAGAAAAAAGGTTCAGGAGGAAGGCAAAGAGAGATACAGTTTCACTCTGTAACCTGATTCCTTCATTCCTATTTCCTTTCTTTCCTACTACCACCCAGTGTTTGCCTCTAGATATACATAAAAGACTTGGAAGGCTCATAAGAACCACTGTTAATTCCTATCACTTTGTTTTGAAATCCTGTATTGTATTTATTGTTTTTGTGTTATTTTGTTTTTGTCTTTGTTGTTGTTATTTTTTTATTCTCTTTCAATTAATGTTTGTTTGATCAATCTTATATGTTTATCTGAGTAATCAATTTGAAGATATCAGTATGTAATACAGCCATTGTCAATTTCATATTACCTTGTCTGATGTTCTGCATTGCTTGTATTGTTTTTGTATTATTCTGTAAATGTATGTGTGTTTGTTAATATGTTTTTGTTCTTTTATCTTTAAAAGAAAAATTAAAAAAAAGAGTCAGTACAGATTGAATAGCCCTTATGCAAAATGCCTACAACCAGAAGAACTCCAGATTTCTTATTTTTTGTGAATTTTGGAATATTTTCTTGTGTGTAATGAGACATCTTGGGAATGGACCCTAAATCTAAAGATATCATTCTTTTATGTTTCATACACACCTTATACACACAGTCTGAGGATAATTTTATAAATGTTTTTAGTGCACTTGTATTATGACTATAAATCATTAGATGTAGTCTGGTGTGGAATTTTCCACTTGTGGTGTCATGGTGGATTGCAAAAAGTTTCAGATTTTGTAATATTTCAGACATTCAACCTATAGGGACAAGAATAGAGTTCAGGGACTGTTTTGAACCACTGTGTTATTTCTGACAGCTATTTGTGCATTCTCTGCTCATCAAAGAAAGAGTTGGGACAGTGATCTCAGTGTCACACAGGATACCTTTCCCAGTGGCTTGGATTTTGCTGGAACTAGCCAAGTTCATTTTATGCACTTCTGACTCTACAGAATAGAGACTAAATGTTCTCCCCATGCACTAACATTCCAGACTGATTCAAATTTTAGAGAAATGAGTCAGAAAAATTCCAGGTCAGATTTTGTCATTTCCATCACATTAGCTTGTATAATTCACTCGCAGTCTCTGGTTTTCCATTTTTTCAATATAAGATGAGACTATTACTTCCACCCTCTGTTTGCCCTTATTCTCACCTGATGATTTTGAGCATCAGATGAAATAATATATTGAATAATGTTTTATGAGCTTTTAGCATCAATTTAATGTAAAAGGATTTTGTCATTGGTGATGTGGTGATATTCTGAGTGTTGACTATTCTAACGGCTACTTAGTGGTATTTTTTAAATTTGCATTCTCTAATGACATAAAGTGAGGCATCTTTTCACAAGTGTATTTGTTATTTATATTTTTTCTTTCATAATAAAATATTTTAAATGGCCAGCTAAATAAGGATTTTTTTTGTCTGGTTGTTTTGTTTTTTACTTTTTGATCAAGTTGCGATTTTGTTGTGGGCAGGGAAAAGCTGTGTAAGACTATGAAATTTCAAACCCCTGGGGGCTGGGGATTTAGCTCAGCGGCACAGCACCTGCCTGGCAAGCGCAAGGTTGTGAGTTTGATTCCCGGTACCGGAAAAAAACAAACAAACAAACAAAAAGAAATTTCAAACCCCTAAAGTCCCTGCCAGTTCTGTCATTCTATAAACTAATGCTGCCAGCACACATTCTCTTCCCTTGATAGAGCTTACCAGCCAGGCCATTGGAGGCAGGACACACTACTAGACGCATGTATATTTCTATAATCCAGGCCACAAAATGAAGCACTGGACAAATGGGTATACTTTTATTGTTATTCTTTTTTTTTTTCAGGAATGCCAAAATGAGTCTTTACTTTAAAAAGTCAGTGATGTCAGAACACAGGAGAGAGCCCTCCTAGACTAAAGCCTGAGAAGTGACTGGGGAGTGCTGCTTTCATCAAAGTGCAGGCCTATTTCACTGAGCCAGTGTGTTGTCTTCCAGGCTCTTTTGCGTGGAAAACTTTCCCATTGCCTAACAGAGTAAGAAACTCCCCACATTTGCAGAATTATATGAACCTGCATCAACATGTCAAGTGCATATTTACATTACAGTAGGGTTTCAAAACTGTACTTGTAACTCATTTGTTTGGAATTCAGAATGTATTTTTCCATACAAAGAATGCTATTAAAATAGTGACTAGATTCCCAAGTAACTAAAGTACACTCTTGATTCACAAAGTAGTTGACAAGGGGCGTATTTCAGATGTAAATGACAATGAATCAGTGGTGTTGCATTGCTAGCCATTAACCAACACTGAAAAGCGTGAAAAGCATGTAATAAAATAGCCTCTTTTACTTCCTAAGAAAGTGAATAATAAGGAACAACAGTCTTAGATGAAAAGAGAATTTCGTGGAAACTTATGTAAGGAAACTTAAGAAAATTCTGAGGATATTTTCAAAAGCTTTTGAATTTTTTTTACTAAGTCTAAAGCAACTTTACAATTTTTAAACTTTTTTTTCTTGACACAAAGGATTATGTAGTATGGATTTCATCTGCCATAATAGATTTATTTGGGGTTTACATATGGGAAAGAAAAAGAAAATAAGAGAGATTAGGGAAAAGGAAGAGGAGTGAGAAAGAATTTCCTGAGATCAGTCAACAAGCTGGAGAAATTGAGGCAGGGGAAAGAGGTATACACCTGGAGTAAGATGGATTTTGATTACCTACTCTGACAGCGGAGAAAACAGGTGCTCTGAGAATCCTTGGCCCTTATGAAAGGGAAACGGTAATGTGAGTAGTTCCTGCTGAAACCATAAGGTGGCATCGGAGGGCTAGAGCTGTTTGGAAAACAGATTTCAGGAGAGGAGGAGAAACCAAGGCGGCTGTGAGTTCCTGGCTCTTTGGTGTTAGCAAATAAACCAAAATAGTGTACTGTTTCCATATTTTATATTTATTTCCACAAAGTAAATGCTGAACTAGAATATTAATATAACCTCATCTAATCAGAGCTGTTTGTATTTAGGGGGAACACGGAGTGCAGGGACCTGAAAGACCACAACTCAATCTTTAATTTCTGGTGGCTTCAAACATAGTATGTATTAAACTGAAATAAACAAAAACCTATAGCTTTTAAACAAGAAAGACAGGATAAAGTAGCAAAAAGTAGCTTGCCTCTGCTCATAAAATTAACAATGTCAGTCACCATCACCCTGAAGAAGGTGGCACTGGCATGCC